GTAACCACTACGCTACCAGAGCTCCTTCCGATTCATAGCGATGCTGTATGGGGTTTCTGAGGAGTGGCTGGTGAGTTTGAACTGCCAACATAGCAGTTCAAAGCAACCTTGCTGTCCTGTTCATTATCCCACAGAACCAACATTATTTATCTCTTATTTCTTTTAACAGTGCTCTCCTTCCTGTCTCCTGCTACCTTCATCTTTCCTCTGCCAACCCTGCTCTTGCCTGCCTTGTCCCCAAACATTTTATGAAAGAAGTGCTTTTACTAGCATCTTGAATTTCCATGTCTAAAACCAAATTCCTGATTTTCCTCCCTAATCTGTTGGGCCCACAGTTTTCCCCATCTCTGTAAATGTAGCTTCATGGACCCAGATCTGTTTGTGTTTTATTTCTGACTACCCATTGACAACAGTACCTGGTAGAGTAGGCACTTCTTACTTACTGAATAAATGAAAATAGCTAGTCTTTCATGTTGTTGTTGTTAAGTGCCGCCAAGTTGGTTCTGTCTCACAGTGACTCTGTTTACTGTGTCCAAGGAGTGGCTGGTAGGTTTGAACTGCCAACCTTGTGGTTCTGCAGTCCAGTGCTTATTCTACAACACCACACCAGGATTCCTGTTGTGTTTGCTAATAAGTGCTGTCCAGTAGGTTCCGACTAATTGTGACCCTGTATAGCTTTTTAGCGTAGGTTATGAATCGGGCTGCAAACCACAAGGTCAGCAGTTCGAAACTACCAGCGGTTCCATGGGAGAAAGATGAGGCTTTCTGCTCCCGTAAAGATTTACAGCCTCGGAAACCCTGTTCAGGGTCGCTATGGGTCAGAACCGACTCCACGGCACTTTACAACAACATAGCTTTTGCAAGGGTTTGAACTGCCCATAGATGAGGATAAAAGATAAGCTTCTAGGTAGAATGGATTATGTGCGTTCAAACAGTGGGACACATGTTTGACTTGCTAAGGAACTTAGTCTGTTGGTGGTGGTTTTTGCCATTAAGTCTGCACAGACTCATAGTAACCTTTTGCACAACAGAGTGAAACACTGCCCATTCCCGCGCCAAGTTCACAGTCCTTGCTACATTTGAACCCAATGTTGATGCCACTGTGCCAATCCGTCTCATTGGAAGTCTTCCTCTTTTTCACATGATACCCTTCGCCAGAAACTGGTCCCTCCTGATAATATATCTAAAGTATGAGAGG